AGACGTGCGTTTGGGCGGTAGTGACAAACATTTTAGTCCGAAGTCTGTAGCACATACAGAAGTGAAATTTGGGTGCGACCTCTTCTACCGATAGGCCATCGTTAGATGAGGTCAAATTTTTTAAATGACACTTGCGGCGGGGAGGGGTGGAGCGGCCACAAAGTTACTAAATAGTGAGCGTTCGGGCGGTAGGAACCGAACTCGTAGCTCAAAGACGGGTGGACATAGAGATGGAAAATTTGACGTGAGACCAGAGACCCCCTATTTATTTATTTATTTATTTTATAATTTGTACAATTGAGCCTCTGGCTGAGGCTATGGCACACGTCATATTTGGTACATGGTGAACAGTTACAGCGATATACATAAGGTACAAGGTTTAAATTTTACTAGCCTACAAGTTCGTCAAGATTATAGAAGGCTTTTTCGATTAAGAAAGCACGCAGCCCCTTAAAAAACGATGTTAGATCAGCATTACGAAAGTGTAGCTTCACACTCCAAGGCAGTGCGTTGAACATCTGTATTGCCGAAAATTTGACATCCTGCTCAGTCCGTCTCAATCGAATCATTTTATTAGGGATGTTCTTATGCCTACTGTTGTAATGATGATTGGGCAGGAGGTCAGAAGGCAAAATAAGAGCACTGGAGATGGCAAATTTCAGGCAATCCCAGATGTACAGGGAGGTTAGGGTAAACAATTTATATTTAACAAAGATCGGGCGGCAGTGTGAGTTATGAGGAAGATTGAAAATGGTTCTGATAATTTTTTTCTGCATGACAAACACTTGATCAACACTAGAGCCTCGCCCCCACAGAAGAAGCCCATATCGCATATGAGACACTATGTGAGCGTGATAGAAAGCGAGACAGCAGCTCAAGGTGGAAATTCTGGAAAGGTTGCGAATGGCCCAAGAGGCCCTTGATAGTTTTGACACAACCATGTCGGTCTGTCGTTGCCACGTTAGACCTGCATCAATATGAATGCCAAGAAATTCTATGGAACTTTCCAATTTTACGCTTAAATTATCACCTAACATACAAATGGGTTCTGGCAATGAAGAGGTAGTTCTAGGGGATACAGAATAAAGAATTGCTTGAGTTTTCTTTTGATTGACAAGGAGGCCATTTGCCTCAAACCACATACAGGCCTGCTCATAGACTTCACGAGCTTTTAGCTTAACATCGCCATCTGTAATTACAGCGGAAGTATCATCGTCATATAATAAAATGGGATGAGTAACGTTGGAAGGGAGGTTATATAGTCTATCGATTTATATAGTCTATCGTTAGATGGGATTAAAGTCTTAAAGCAGCACCTGGAGGGGGGGGGGAGGGCTGTAACAATTATAGTAAGATCGATTCTGGTCGGAAAAAGACGGTCATGGCACATTCCCCATGATTTGATCTGAAATTACTGGTTAACAACAGGCCGTGTTACCTTTACTCAGATTAAACCTTTTTAACACGTATTATAATTTTTTTTTTAAATTTTTGTGTGAGAAAAAAGTCGCAAAGACAAAAAAATGCTAAAAAACTGTGATTATCCGAGGGATAATCGGCTATTCCGAAAAATTGGAGGACGATGCGGAAAGACGGATAGAATTTTCGGAGGGAGGGGGGTATATATTAGAGTTTTGTATACATAAAATGAACATCATGTCTAATAACCACATGTGTATGTAACTTTTTTTTTCTTTATCGGAAAGGAATCGTGAAGTTCGCCTTAAACAGGGGCCAATATGCAGTTCAACGAGTATACCCGATTCCCGACTTGAGGTCACAAAAATGACGATTCCGTCGATTTGGGGCAGTTTGTGGCTTAAAACTAAGCATATTCTGAATCTAGAGGGTATTATGAACAACATATCAGAAAATTGCGTTGATATATTTTTTGATCTATGTTTAAAGACACGATCATAAGCCAATATGCCGCTCATTGCGCGCCTGAGCCCTGACTTGAGGTCACAAAAATGACGATTCCGTCGATTTGGGGCAGTTTGTGGCTTAAAACTAAACATATTCTGAATCTAGAGGGTATTTTGAACAACATATCAACAAATTTCGTTGATATATTTTGATGTATTTTTTTAATTTCTGTTTAAAGATATCATCACATCTCATTTATCGATCACGTGGTTGATTTCTGACATGAAAGAACGAACGCCATATTTGTCATTAAAGAGGTCCAATTGAGTAGAAATCAAATAGATTATGGATTTGAAACATCATTCCAACAACTTATCAAAAAACACGGCTGAACTCATGCATGCACACTGGCTCTCTTTGGTTTCACGTATGGCTCTTATAAAAACAAGCCAATATGCCGCTCAGTGCGCGCATAAGCCCTGACTTGAGGTCGTAAAAATTACGATTCCGTCTATTTGGGGCACTTTGGGGCTAAAAACTAAACATATTCTGAATCTGGAAGTTATTCGGAACAACATATCAAGAAATTGCGTTGATATATTTTGATATATTTTTTTAATCTACTTTTGAAGATGCGTACATGGAATAAATCGAATTTTTGGCATCATCAACGGAAGACCGGACTGAGAGGCCCTTAATTTAAGAATTTAAAATGATCAACATAGTTTTTGTACAGACAAACATACCTTTTACCTAAATATTCTGCCTTGTTCCGTTCTGAGTAGGGTAATATCAGTTATCACCCGTCATAACACATGATGCCCGCTGCTGGATCTCCGCTACTTGTGCATCCGCGCAGGTTCCGTGATTTCCCCTCCCCCTCCCTCCCCTTCAATAGCATTTTCATGTCAAGAAACTACGAATTTTTTCTTCCCATCCATCCATTTCTTCAATCCAGCGGTCATTTTTATTGTGCGACAAAGTCGAATTTTCGATTTTTGTCCATAGGACACTGCACTGTGGTCTCCTATCATTGAGGTGTCCTCATATGAGTGTGCGCTCGCTCCATGTTGGCGAAAGATCGCTCTTTTAATTTCTCATGCGAAGCTAATTTTCCGCCCCGAACTGCCATGACAGCGAAGAGAGCCGTAAGTGCAAAAATGAAGTTTTGAGAAAACGGGCTCAGAAGCATCTTACAAGATCATTTTATTGAAAGAAGCCTCCGTTCTGCGTCAAATTGCCACTAATCGTCCGGAAGACTCCTAGAAATCGTATGGATGATTAAAAATCGACTGATTTTATTTCCATCCCATAAAGAGGGTATTTTTCATTTTCATGCTAGGTTCTTGTTGGGCAAGACAGCCGTAAGTGCTATCTTCTGCATGCTTTCGTGGTTGCGTTTAGGACGCACAACATACACATTTTCAGGTTCGAAATTGGCAGAAGAGGGCGGCACTTTACTGGAAAGCTCTGTTTTCATTGGCTCTCTTGCACCTACGGCTGTCTTGAAAAAAACTGTGCATTTTTTGTGCAATTACGGCTTTTCATACGTCTCGTTTTCATTAAATTAGGATGAATTTTGCTGTTTTAGTTGTCTCAGTAATTTCATCTAAAAGAGTTTAGACGAATTTTGAAGAAAACTCGATTTCGAAAATTTTGCACTTACGGCTCTTTTCGCTATCACGGCAGCAAAGTTGCCCATGATTTTCAGAGAGGAGTGAGACGACCCACCCGGAGATATGCCGCAGTCACACGCTGAATTTAGCAGCTGAATGTGGAAGTCAACAGTCATCGCTCAACTGCTGAAATTTAGCAAATTCGAGTTATTTTCATCCAGATGTGTATCAAATCTACTCGAATAGTTCAGACAAATTCAACATTAGTCCGATGGCTGCTGAGAATCGTTGCTGAATTTTGCGCGTGACGCGCAAAATTCAGGCATCGAGCCGATGACTCCCACATTCAAGCCACATTCAGCCTGTGATTGCGGCAATAGCATCAAACCGAAGGGGAAGTCAGTGCCACGCCACTGCCGCCGCGCATGTTGACAAGACTTTGGTCTTCTGTTTATCATGCAAATAGTTTTTCCCTTATTTTTTTTTACACTCTCATTCTTTCTCTCTTCTCTTTTTCTAAACAAATAAAAAATAAATGAATAAATATCCGAAATTTGCCGCCGCCCGGTGCTATTGCACCGTTGGTCCTCCTTCAAATGTGATCCTGTACCTTCACGAAGTGTTCTAATAGTTCTTGCCTGGTAGCTTCATCTATCTAAGAGAATGACGCAATCATCTTTAGACTTGAGGCTGAATTTGTCGGTCCTTCCATTGGTAAGACTTAAATGGACCGCGTTAAACAGAAAGGAACCAAGCCACATCAGCTATTGCCAAATTTAATTGGGCGAATTAATTTTTTACATGAAAACGCTTGGGCGGATTTGGGTGCAAATTTCAGTGAATTTTCTCTATAATACGAAGCAAATTCCTTAAAGTTTTCAAAGGAGTCCGCACTAACATTCTCTCGTAAAAAATTGACTTGCCCAGTTAAATTTGGCAATAGCTGATGTGGCTTGGTTCCTTTCTGTTAAACGCGGTCCAAATGTAAGTACTAGAGACGAGTCGTGAGTGCAATTAAGGTCGTCTTGGCATCTCTGATGGGCTGATGCTGCGGTTTGGGCTCATCGACGGATGTTGAATCTCATCTCCATGTCAAAGTGCCGACCAAATTCGGGCCCAGGATTGGATAGAAGCTCATTACTGATTCTTACATTTTTTAAGTTTCGAAAACAAGAAAAGTTTACTAATTTTGCTCGAAAAACACTGATAAGCTCTTTCTGTGTTATGTAGATTTTCCTGTCTACAAAACAGGTTCTGACCCAGTCCTGGCCTAATGATGCTCAATTGCTCATGCCATTCCTTTTTAATTTTTCAAAACTTTAATTTTTTTTTCTTCAAAATTTTCTTTTCTAATGCACATACTAGGTAGGTATATTTTCCAATACTTTAACTTCAGCCTTTCTTACATTCTCTTTCCGGCAATACAGCAGCGACCTGTTGTCCACAAAAAAAGGATACTTAGAATTGAGAGTTTCTTTTAACAAGATTCCTCTTTTTATGTCTGAAAATATCTTACAGGCCATGTCATCTTGGAAAAAGGTTGCTAAACTTCGACAAACGCCACATCGAGAAAGACACCAGCCGGAAGAGCGCTCTAATTTAGGTCTCTTACACAAACAGAAGGACTACCAGGCTCGAGCTAAGAATGCAAACGAGAAAAAACGAGCTTTGAAGCTGTTGCATCGAAAAGCTTTAGACAAAAATCCAGATGAGTTTTACTTCCATATGATAAACTCAAAGGTTCAAGATGGCGAACACATCGAATTCAGTAAGGATAATGAGTACACAGATGAACAGATCAAACTGATGCAAACCAGGTTAGTAATTCATGATTCTAAACTGAGGACGTTACTAAACATGTAAAATCTGCATTTTTCGTGAAGCATCTGACATTTAGTCCAGGCGTAAGTGTTCATTTTTTAACTCCCGTGGGATCGTTCGTGGTACAAGTTGGCGGCATAGCTTGATCTCTTCGTTTTTATGCCCTGGAGCAAAATTTCGATACTACCATTTTAAAATAATCTTTCTCTCTCTGCCTTTTTTCATGGGAGCCGATTCGGATCGTGAGATGGGAGCCAACTCGGCAACCCCCCACCCCCTCCCCTTCTCCTAGAGGGGGTCTCATTGAATTGCAACGGTTCAAACTTTCACCCCACAATATATTTCTTTATAAATTAAAAGTGCATGCCATACCTCGAAAAGGAGGAGTAACGTTTTGGGCCTTTTCCGGCCCCACCTGGATTTTGCTAAATGTTTCATATTTTCAAAGTACTAGTCTTAGGTAGACTCTGTGCCAAATATTAGACCGAACGGAGCCCATGCAAGGGCGCAGCAGCGCCTCAAACCCAAAATCCTGGAATCGAAAAACAATTATTTTCGTCGACTTTTTCGACTGTTATCACTCTTCCAGCACATGATTCTTATGTATTTTTTTGCGTACTTTTCGTTTCTGGCCTTTTTAAAGGCCTCCGATAAATTTTAAGGGGCCTTATGGCCCATTGTTGCCATTTTTGGCCCATTTTTAGGGGTTTTTTCCATTTAACACATTCAAAACTCAATTTAATCCAAAAACTGTGTACATTTTTGAAAAGTACGTAAAAAAATGAATAAAAAATGTTCAGTAAAATTTTTTCCTATGTTGCCAAATTTCCGAGAAAATTGGTCCCAAAGTGTCAAAAACGGCAAAAAATCGATAAATCGCCGCGTCTAAGGTTCAAGAAAGTGGAGTACATTTTTCATACTGTACCAGATAACAGCTCTTATCCATCCATACAACATACTAAAATATCATAGTTGTACCTGGATTCCCACGATGTGAAAATTGACCGAGATGTCGATTTTAGCGGCCTTTTTATACTTGAAGGCAGCTCTTTTGAATGTTTTTCGACCTTAGTCACCCTCTATGGGTGTGTACTATATGTATTTTTCTACGTACTTTTCATATCTGGCCATAAAAATGGCTTCCTGTGAATTTTAAAAGGCCTAACGGTCCATTGTTGCCAATTTTCACCAATTTTTAGGGGTTTTTTCAAGTTTACGTGTGTGAAACTTAATTTAATCTAGAAACCGTGTACAATTTCGGAAAGAACGTAAAAAAATACATAGAAATGTGATTTGTACCTTTTCCCTACGTTGCCAAATTTTCGAGAAAAATCGTCCTGAAGCGTCAAAAATGCCAAAAATTGGATTAATCATCACGTCGGAGGTTCCAGGAAGTGAATTTCAAGTTTTTTTTCACTACAAATAACGTATCGAAAATGGAAAATTGCAATGCATCTCAAGGAACATGTAATGGCGCAGATGAACGTGACAAAACGGGCCCTCAAGGTGCTTTTACTTTATCCTTCACTCCAGTTCACCTCTTTATTCCTGTAACCTCGAGATAATCCTTGGTTCTCAAGATGCTTGCTACAGGCCAAATATACCGAAGAACAGAAAATGCGTGGAGAAAGTGTCCCACGATCCACATGAATGTCATAATTCACTTCCTGGAACCTCCGACGTGATGATTAATCCAATTTTTGGCATTTTTGACGCTTCAGGACGATTTTTCTCGAAAATTTGGCAACGTAGGGAAAAGGTACAAATCACATTTCTATGTATTTTTTTACGTTCTTTCCGAAATTGTACACGGTTTCTAGATTAAATTAAGTTTCACACACGTAAACTTGAAAAAACCCCTAAAAATTGGTGAAAATTGGCAACAATGGACCGTTAGGCCTTTTAAAACTCACAGGAAGCCATTTTTATGGCCAGATATGAAAAGTACGTAGAAAAATACATATAGTACACACCCATAGAGGGTGACTAAGGTCGAAAAACATTCAAAAGAGCTGCCTTCAAGTATAAAAAGGCCGCTAAAATCGACATCTCGGTCAATTTTCACATCGTGGGAATCCAGGTACAACTATGATATTTTAGTATGTTGTATGGATGGATAAGAGCTGTTATCTGGTACAGTATGAAAAATGTACTCCACTTTCTTGAACCTTAGACGCGGCGATTTATCGATTTTTTGCCGTTTTCGACACTTTGGGACCAATTTTCTCGGAAATTTGGCAACATAGGAAAAAATTTTACTGAACATTTTTTATTCATTTTTTTACGTACTTTTCAAAAATGTACACAGTTTTTGGATTAAGTTGAGTTTTGAATGTGTTAAATGGAAAAAACCCCTAAAAATGGGCCAAAAATGGCAACAATGGGCCATAAGGCCCCTTAAAATTTATCGGAGGCCTTTAAAAAGGCCAGAAACGAAAAGTACGCAAAAAAATACATAAGAATCATGTGCTGGAAGAGTGATAACAGTCGAAAAAGTCGACGAAAATAATTGTTTTTCGATTCCAGGATTTTGGGTTTGAGGCGCTGCTGCGCCCTTGCATGGGCTCCGTTCGGTCTAATATTTGGCACAGAGTCTACCTAAGACTAGTACTTTGAAAATATGAAACATTTAGCAAAATCCAGGTGGGGCCGGAAAAGGCCCAAAACGTTACTCCTCCTTCAAAGAATGTGCGTCAAATAACAAGAAGACTTCAAAATGTCGAAAAAACTGAACCCAATTAACCTGGGGAAATTCTGGGTCGAACAAGAGCTTGATGGGGCCTCATGATAAACTCAGGCATACTTGTGACGTTTGCTTTTTAATTTTGATACTTAAAAATGTTTTTTTTTTTTTTAATTTTTCCCCACTAATATTAGAATATTACTGTTTTTTGTTTAAAAGTTTTTTTAAATTAGCCAAGGTATAGTAGAAACCCTCTTACAATAATGCATACTCGGAATCGGAAAACTCGGCGCAGTTGAAATTAAATTGAGTATTTGTTGTTGTTTATGCAAAGAAGAATATCAAAAAACCTAAAAAGCCAATAATGCACCTTTTCAGTAGTGGTTCAATGACTTTCATTTAGAATTAAACGTTTCGGACGCCTGAAAGCTGAAATGTTTAGGCAGTATAAAATAACTTTTGAAAATTGTAATCTAGAATTCTAATTCGCACCAAGTCTTCTATTCAATGAGCTAAACACACGATAATCGATGCGAACCATCAGCAGCATTGCTACTACCAATGTGGCGCTTACTGAAGCCTAACGATACCCCTCAAAAAAGCTCTAAAACGATCAGGGCCGATTTTCCATTTAAAGATCCCGCGCAATGAGATCGCCGGATCTCTAGACGCGGCATTCTCACATTACTACCAGGTTGCCGCACCATTTTAACCTTTCGCCCTGTTTCATTGGGAAGTAGCTAAGACATAAAGTAGGGATCTAGAAGCAATGTGAGAACTTGTATACCCCTTCTTACGGCACACTCCAACCAATCTCCAACTAACTCTGGCAATCTCCTAACCAAGGCAGCCAATGAGAGTTCCGGATCGTGGACTAGTCGGAACGGAGCGCTAAATGGACTAGTCCCGTCGCGCAGAGCATTAGGTATGGGGGAATATGAATCTTGCGTAGTCTAAAGAACAGTAAGTTTTCCCGCCATATGAGACCTTCACTTCAAGCTCGATTATTTCATCGAGGAAAATTAATATCCCGTTGAAAGTTTTAGACCACATACTTTATCACGCTGTTAATGCATTTCATCCGTAAAAACTTTTCATTCCTCCTCTCACAAAGAGAACTTGCGCGTAGAAAAACGGGATTTCCCCATCAGAATACGCGACGATGTTTCCCGCCACGCACAATTTGTCCGCACGCACGTCTTGTGTGGAGGTATCCACTTTGCTTCTAAATCGAGATCCCTAATGACAAGTTTCTCGGAACTCAACAATGGGCGAGCAGGGAGAGGGAGAGAGCGTATCTCTGCTAAAAGTTTCCGCTGGAAAATGACATGTAATCACGCGGGCCCCCAGGCGATTGGCACAAGGCGATTTGAATTCCCGCTATGCACGACTAGTCCACGGCTATATTGTGCGAGTACCCACCTTGCCTCTAGATACCATAAAGACGGAGCGTTGGAAGAAAAAAATGATGCAAATTCATGGAAACTCTCCTATTGGCTGGAGGATTGGCGGCGAAATCGGGACAAGTTTGAAATTCAAATTCAGGGCGGGAACTGAATTAAATTGCGTAAACAAAGTATTCTAGGTTGATATTTGCTCAAATTCACTTACCCACTTATATTTTTTTAACTTTAGGCAAGTTTTGGTTCGTCGTCGACCGATTAATTTCATTCACCCACATCACTCATCATTTCATTTCACTTACCCACTTATATCTTTTTAACTTTACGTTATTTCTGGTCCGTCATCGACCGATTAATCTCATTTAGGAGTAACGGTCATCTAGGACTGTAACGGCCTGTTTGAACCGGCAGGACCACCTTATCAAAATAAAAACCAACTTTATCTGAGATCCTTGCTTGTTACCGAGCCAAATCAGGTTTTTTATAAAAAGTCACCCTCATAACTTTATTCATTTGTTCGTTTGAAGCATTTAAAACGAGGTTAGAGCAAGATATGTGCAAAAATCAAGAACAGAAGTTCCGAACAAATTTCCGTTCGTCGCCATGGATTCCCGCGCCTACTTACACACTCACACAAACGAAGAGCGCCAGGGCTGCATCACTTCTTCCGCGTGTTAGTAGATACGAGTGCTCAGTTCTTATGTCGTTGGGCAGTAGAGGAATCACAAATAGGACTGGCCATGCTGTTGAGGATTCCGGATGCCTGCGACTCCGAAAAACTTAAATTACGCGGCGCGCTATTTTGATTCGCTTCTAAGGCACATGGTATGAGTGCAGTCTACATCAGTTACCTAGCATGAAATCAGTAACCGCGCCTGGGAGCTATACATAACCCATTCCCCCCGGATGT